CGAAAACCGATCGAAGTGGCGTGCAATAGGAGAGGCCTATGTCCAGAAGTGGATTGCGATAGGCTGATGATGATGATGATGAAATGCAATGACACAACAGATATAATTTAACATTCATTTGAATATCATACCTATGTAATGCATATTACGAGCATCATAACAAAGGATTTGGATTACTGGATAAGGATTTGGATGCTGTCCTGTCCTATCTGTCTGCGAGTATATTACTTTTTTCATCACATCAACAGTCTTTAATAGTCCATTGCTGGACATAGGCCTCTCCTTGGAAAAGAAATTAGCTTTTTAGCTATCAATAACTACGTTAAAATTGGTACGTCTTTATTTGGAACGATCTGAATAAATTTGCCCGGTTTTCGCATCATTTTTCATTGATACTCGGTTCCTATTGGCATGATGATACGTAGATACGTGGTACGTAGCATGATATTATATAAGGACTATCCAAAAATAAAAGATTTTTAAAATTCGAACCAGTTGTTCCTGTGATTACCCCGAACATACAGACTCAAAAACTTTACCTCTTTATGATATTACTAAGTTTTGCTCGCTGCTTTGGCCGCGTTAAAAAGTCGTCGTCGTCGATTGTCGCGGTAAAAAGTAGCCCATGTCCTTTTTCAAGAATCAAACTATCTCGATACCAAATTTTATTTAAATCGGTTTAGCGGTTTAAGCAAGAAGAGGTAACAGACAGATAGATAGATAGACAGACAGACACAAGTTCGAATTCATAGTATTAGTATAGATTAAATAATCTAATATTGGCCATCGTATATTATGCTGGTTAGCCAGATACTTCTGAAACCACATGTTTCTCTGGTAAGCGTAATATTTAAGGTAAGAGTCATGTTATTGAATTGCCTATAAAATAATCATGTTAGTAATGTTTATTTTCTCAACTCTTATCTTGTTACTATGAGGCAGTTAGATAAGCCTCGCGTAATAACTCCACATTGAAATCGTAAACATATTGTATTATTTAAAAACGGTATTATCATTTTATATGTCAATTACATGATAATTTTAAATACCATTCAAAATGTCAACAATTTTTTGTTGATGAATAAATTGTATTGGTCTTTTAATCGTAATCGTTAAATTGTAAAAAGCTTTTATTTTTATTTATATAATATTCTGAATTATAATATGACGTTTTAGACCTATAGTATTTGGTCTAAGAACCCTTAAAATATACTTATTAAATCATTTTACACTTCTTCCTGCCCCTACCATACAACAGACCTATTTTAATATTATTTTAAAATTAATTCATAAAGTAAACATTAACGATAAACACACATCGATTGTATATTATATAAACTGTTTTATAGCTGTCAAAACCCGTAAATAAACACAATTTAATTTGACGAAACATTCATACAAAATGATTATTTCATTTCCAACAAGCCAAGTCACTATACCGTATCACTGAAACACAAGTTCGTTTTATCAATACGACGATGTTGTGAACAAAAACGCTTTGAATATCACTACTAGATGTTAATAAATATTTAGTCCATTCTTTGGATAGACCTAGTGCACACTGTCCACTTACAATGCCGGAGAGCTGTCATCTGGGTAAAAAAAAACAATCAAAGGATAATCAACCTTGTTGCTATGAAGTTATTGTTTTAAATAAGGGCAAAGCTACCGGTGCTAGGGAAACATGCGCAGTGGTGCATTGCGCAGAATATTGATTGCAATCATATGTATGGTGGAAGCTATGGCGGAAAATTTGATTTCCTTTTCAAAATATTATATTTTTGCGATGCAGTAAATTTACCTGCACTATTAAATATTCACGTTGATTAATTTGTATATAGTTGACAAATATATGATGCTTAGTTTAAAATCGTTTTCTAAATATAAAAATATGTAGTTTAAAAGTCCTAAAATGAACACGAGAGTTCACCCCATTCACGTTCAACACGCTTAGCATTCGTAATGGCGATCGTGATAAAGTAAGCATAAATAGTAATTTAAGTCATTCTTCAGAGGCATTTATACCACACAGTACTGTTGTACGGACAGATAACTTAGATTTTTATGTATTGACTGCACTTAAAATAAAATGAATGATGCTCGTAGAATTTAGAAAGAAAAATTAATGAGACATTTACCCAGTAATTTCTGTTAAAGCGACAATACAAACCATTAATTTACAAATTATTCCTTAAATTATTATTATTTTAAGAATGCGTCTTATTGTATACTAATAAGCATTCGTTCGTTTGTCGCTTAGGTCAGACAGGATAAGCTTTTGGGATCTTGATTTAAATTATTCTTGATTTTAATTTATTATTTATGAAATATATAATTAGAATTTTAATTTGAACGCCATCTAGTTTGAATCAAAGCTAGATTGACTGATAGAATACCTAATACTTTATTTGTAAATGCAATCTGACTCGGGAATCAAACCCGACACCTCAGGCAAGCAGTCGCATACGCTACCATTGCACCGCCGAGGTCAATATCAGTCATATCCCCCAGTACTTGGGTTTTGGATGCCTGATGGCAGTCGCTCTGCGTAAAAAATCGAAGTTCAGCCGTATCGTAGTAGAAATAAAGCTGACCCCAACCTAGTTTGGGACAGAGGCTAGTTGCGGGCAGGCGCTAGGAGGGGTCCGGATGTCTTAATAACAGAAGTTCTCGGAACCCTCCTATTACAGGCATAGAGTGGCATACTGTTTGATTTTAGTCGGTTGGAAGAACTACATCTCAAGAGGGCTGCACGTTAGGGTTGTCCGGTCAAAGACACTGTACGGTGCACCGGTGTGGGTGGTGGTGGTCTGACCGCCACGAATAGGACCTGGCTCTGGCGCCCTCAAAAGATATTGGCGGTTAGAGCCATACGCGGTTACCGCACCGTTTCGACGGAGGTGGCTTGCGCCTTGCCCGGAACTCGCCCGTGGGATTTGGAGGCGGAAGTGCTCGCCGAAGTACATAAACGGACGCCTGAAGAGGAACGCGAGTGGCGTGAGGGCGCTTGCCGAGCCACGATGGCTCGTTGGTCGTCCCAGCTGGAGGTTCCACGGGACCCTATCCTTCCGGCTGATGCAGGTCCTTTCGGGGCACGGCTGCTTCGGGACGTACCTGCACTTGGTCGCTAGGAGGGAATTGAGTCCCGCCTGTCACCACTGCGATAGCAGTGAGGACTTGGCTCAGCACACGCTGGCATTTTGCCCGGCTTCGGCATTGCAGTGCCGGGACCTATTGCAGTCATCGGGGGGGATCTCTCATTACCGGCCATCATAAGCTCCAGGGCCGGTAGAGTGGCACTCTACTAGACTTAAGACGAAAAAAAAATGGATATGTCAGTCAAAAATTGAGAACAACAAGAATCGTCAAAAGTTAGACTAAGAAAAGGGTTACTATCCTATATAACGAAACGAACCCTAAAAACCATCCTTGACAGGTGTTCATTAGAACAGTTTTCCCATAATTTTATAAGTCACTCAAATCATTTTAAACTTTAGTCCGTAAATCATTTTTACGTCATTTACAAACACAACTATATGGGTTATTGAAATTACTAAAAATAATTTAGCTATAGGGTTGTCTATATTTTTGGGATTTGTTTTTTTTTAACAAATATCATTACATATTACCGGAACTCAATTTCCTCCACCTTTCGAAGCCTATTCTTACAAAATACTTATCCATATAGTATTAAAGTCCAATACGTTTTGACTTTTCTTTGGTAGACGACCAACTCTCCTACTATACTCTTACATCCGTCAACTGCCCTACTTAAAACTTTCTGCTATTGCTCTAAGCTATAAGGCCGCCCTTTGTACATTGTTGATGCTGTATATTTTATTTATTTGTAAAAGTTATAAAAGTTTAGTTTTTGACACTTTTACATGCCGATGTACATAAACTTTATGTTTTATAATTTTGTGTTGTATGATCTCCATAAAACCCTGATGTACAAAAAAAGTATTTTCTATCAGACTATGTTGAACACTAAGTCTTTATTGATTTAGAAAATAACACATTATACACAATATTACATGTACAACCAATTCATTTCACACACAAAAAAAGAAGACACTAGCGTGTCCGCAGTGTGCCAGAATAATATGCCGACAAAAGACTACTATCCATCACTTTACAATCTTGATTACAAATAAAATACGTCATATTCTTTCATGACTCATAAAGAAATGACAAATGTGTTGTATACATACAATATTTATATGAAATTCATATTTCAGTAACCTATTGGTCAATATAAAATATGAGAGTTATTGTCAAATTCTCCAATGAGTTATTGTCAAATTTTTACTTTATAACCGCCATTGTTAGACTTTTCATACCATGACACGTTAATATAACTGTAAGTATAATGGAGGTGTGTGGCTTGCTATAGCCGTTTTAAGTACCAGCTGAGAAATATCTCATAGTAATCAACAGCTGGTAGCTTATTGACGTAATTTTATAATATCAATTGTATTAAAGCACTATAATTGTTTTGTCAATGTCAGCCGATGACGGCGTATCTAGGCCGTTGACATGTCGACGGCTACTATCACCGCATCAGCGATGAATGGCGATTGCCTATATGAAGCCAAACCACTACCACCATTAGTGACCATTACGTGAAGTATTGGATTAATGATAATTTTAACACGGTTTACCGCACGAGATCCATTCAACTTTGCAGAGGACCCGGCTTTAAACCGAAACGTGACGAGAATGCTATCTACTTGGTGTACTTTATCTATAATATGTATGTATCTAGAAATTTATATAAGTGGTATCCGGACTGCTGATAAACATATCAGCAGTCCGGATACCATAGCACAGGCTTTGCCTAGTTTGGGATCAGACGGCCGTGTGTGAGAAGTGTGAAAATATTATTATATTATTTTTCCTTTACGTGAGTTCCTAATACATAAAATATATTTCTAATACAAAGTAGTGCTGATAATTAAGCTTTGCTTCATTTGTTTCACAATAAAAAATATTTACTCTAATTACTTGGAAAGTAGGTTAGCATTGCGAGTAAGGGCGAAGTTAGTAGTAAGACCACGACCACACCATGTCAAAGGAATACCGTAGCTGCTTCGCTGCGACATGCTGCATAGATACAGGAGTTGTACAAGTATTTCTGCAGAAACAGTATAGTTAGTACAGTAAATACTTTAATTCACAGAATGCGTCGTTAACGTGCACAAATCACCATTATTATAAACCCCCTTGTCATAAATCGCCAATGCAATACAAAAAAATAAAAAAATAAAAATCGTGTTAAACAAAAAGCACAGTAGCGGTAGACATTTTGTAATTTGATTAATAAATGGTTCCGTTGAATTTTGAAAGACAGCTGATTAGAAACACGAATACTGAAATCATTCAAACACCTGCTACTCACGTGATATAAAGCCTAGGAGATTGAATTGCTTCCTTATCAAACGCCTGTAGCGAGCGTCGATGAGATGCCGCCGGTATATCCAGGTACGCCCGTTCTGGATCTGTGTGGTGATAGTCACATGACATTATGAAGATGATATACGTTAAATTGTAAATTTTATAATAATCATATACGTTTAAATTTCTTTATTTCTCTCGTTGAGAACTATTTATCAGATACATCAGCTAAGTTTTACTTTCTCATTTATTTTTAATTCTCCTGTTCGTAGCTACGTCTGTAGCCCTGTCAAGTGAGTATTGTCCTGAAAAAGATTTTTTCAATTATATGTTTTATAATTGTTCTATATTTAAATTGAGGTAAGGAAAACAAATAGGAGGGAAAGGGTAAAATAGGGTATACTGCAATTATCAGATCGGGAAACGGAACTAAGACTGCTGTAGTTTAAAGAGGCCGAGGTCACATAACCATATGTCCATTGTCAATTGTATATAAAACGTATTTATACATATATATTAAACGTATTTGTTTGGGACTAAATTAGTTTTGGCAAATCTATTTTGAACCTCCTACACACACATCCTGCGTTAAACGTCGGAAATATGGTCTCCAGTTCCGTTTGTAAAAATTTGTGTAAAATATAGTTATGTGTGTGTTCATATTATTGTATAAGTAGGAAGAAAAAATGTGTAAGGTATTTCAAACATCGTGATCATAATCATAATCATCAGTTATTTGCGGAAAAATAGGTTGGTAACAGGTCTTAGATTATGTTAGAGGTACACTATGTCCTACCACATTATGCGGTGTACAAATAATTATACATACAGAAATGTCTTAAATTAATTAAATTAAATACAGTTAAATTATCAAAATATGTCAATAGAAATCAACTCGAAGACATGTCAGAAAAAAAAAATAGGTTTTAATTTGTCAGGCACATAGATTAAAATAGTCAAAAAAGGTTAAAAATTGCTAAAAGTAGATTATACTTGTCAAGATGGAACATATTTGGGCAACTTGTTGTTAATTTTTGGCGCCATTACAAATATACTTTTGTGGTATAACGTCGTTTTGGCCGGAACTAATTGTAGCCACATCTGCGGCTACTTGTAACAGTCACAAATTTTGCCCAGTTACTTTTTACAAATAATGCTGTTTCAAGTATATACATGGATGGCATTGTTAGTATTTTTAGCCCGATAAAGTAAGGCTTATACGTATCAGTGCAAATGCAGCGTTTTGTGCTTTAAAAACTAAATCTTGACCTGTGGCATTGCCCCAAAATATAATACCATATCTTGGCGTGGAAGCTACAAGTCCATAAAAGTAGGTAATGGGAATTATACTAATGTTTACTGTTTTGTTTAGTATGTATAATGTACATGCATATTGGTTTATTTTATTACATTTTTTTCCATTTGTAGTTTCCACTAAAGGTTATTTTCAATTTGCAATCCTAAAAATGTAGATACTCTGGTCTCACTAATCCTATCACCATTATATTTAATGTCAATATTTTTGATTTGTTATCACTTTGTCCAAAACTTATAAGAATTGTCTTACTTATATTAATTTTAAGGTTTTGGGACTCAAGCCATCCTAGATACTAATAAGGCAATATTTTCTTCAATTACTAAGTTTGTAGTACTAATCTCGTCATTCTTAAACACAACCGCGCAATCATCTGCGAACATAACCATAGGAAATTTTGTGACAGAGATGGATATCCAAAATAAGTAGGTACTCAAAGTCAACTTAAGCAACGTAATCCAATTCAGTTTTTCGTATATAAAAATAAGAACCTTACACCACGTTTTAAGTTTTGTTCTAATTATGAATTCCTTTTCACGTATACATAAAGTATTTAAATATTTATTTATACTTACATATTTGTCAAATCAGTAGGCCAAAAAACCTCTTTTCTAAGGAGAGGCCTATGTCCAGCAGTGGACTATTAAAGGCTGTTTATGTGATGTGATCAGAGGCCCAAGCATGCAAAGTCATTTATATAAATAATGAATAGCACAACGGGCCAAGTGTACTACCCTGTGGTACTCCGTAACGTAAAGTTCTGGCATTTGACATGTAAGATATTTCATGTTTTATAATCTTTGAAAAGTATTGTGTATGTTAGGTATACATTTACCTTAACACATACATTATGTAAATACTTGCACGAAAATTGTAGAAATTAGAAATGAGGATTTTTTATTATTTAACTCACTTTATAATGGCTAGTATTTTCCAATCAGTCATCATTAGGGTGACTCAGAGATAAAAGTAATAGATACTTAGATTATTAATCCTCACCTACATTTAATAATAAAATTCTAGATAAGAGATAATACAATATATGAATCATAGTATACGATACAAGAAACCTCTGTTGAATCCAGGATTCATCAGGACATCATAAAGGCGTGATGTGAGACTCAACTCTGATATATTTTAAAAGAAAAAATAGGAATGAATTCAGAAGTAAATAGCAGATAATAAACAGAAGATTGTTACGGAAAACAAAAAAAGAATAAAAAAGAAATAAAACCTACTCCCTCCATTTTACAATTATAACTTTAGTTCAACTTATGCAATAGATGTTGCCTCCTGCTCATTGCTATCGACTGGGCACTTCGGGGATTAGAAGGGCAAACTGAGACTATATTAAAAGGAAATATATATATATATGAAGAAAAGGCGATTGTTGGGAAGAGATAATGGATTGGGGAATGTAAACCATAACTCGAACATGTCAGGGACCTGTGACTCGAATTGGCTATTGCTGAAAAGTCTGAGCCCTCTAACTTAATGAGTACCAACCGCAAGGCTTAATAACTTGGGCAAGACCTAGAATAATCCATCCAATCCCATCCATAAGCGGAACTTATCCGAAAGAAATGAAAAGAGACACGTTGCGAACGGCTTCATGGTTTGGTGGCCAATATCTAGGTCGTGCGTTCAATTGCCACTGTCTAGGTGTAATGTATCTATAATATGTAAGTATAATATGTACATATTTACAAAAAAAGTATATAAGGCGACTGGATGGCGTAGTGATTTGTGTAACGGACTGCTATTCCAAAGGTCGCGGGTTCGATTCCCGCTCAAGTCAAACATTTGTGTGCATGAACATTTGATGTTTGATTTGGTCTGGGTGTTTCTATGTATAATATGTATGTATTTACGAAAAAAAAAAAGTATATATGTATTTATATCAGTTGTCTAGTACCCATAGTACAAGCTCTGCTTAGTTTGGGACTAGATGGCGTTGTGTGTATGTGGTAGAATATATTATATTATTATAAGTATTCTATCAGTCAATCTAGCTTTTATAGTATAAGTTCTGCCTAGTTTGGAATCAGATGGCCGTGTGTGAGATGTCTGAGGTTATTATTATTATAAAGTCATTCTGTAATCAAAAGTGACCAGGGACTTGAGAAAATCGTACTAAGCACTTTGTTCTTGGCCTCCAAAGAGTTTCGACATATTTATGACGTAGCGCCAACAACTCAACATGGCGCTAAAGCGGTCAAAGCCAAAGCAAGATCAACAGTAACCAATTAAACTTGAACTAAGCTATATATTTACGGAACTGACTCAGAGACAACACTGACCTAAATTTACTTGTTAATTTATATCTTTTACCTTTATATACACTTGAAATTGATATTTCATAGTTTTTTAAGGAAGTATTTGCCGCTTGTTGTACTGTGTTCACTGTCTGCCTAAAATACATGGTCAGTACCATTTTTGTTTCACGCCTGTATGTATACATCACCTACATATTGCAAACCATATTTTGGCTCTATTCACATCATAGGCAAGCCTATTGCAGCCCACAAAAACAAATAAAAATTAAAAGTTTTGTAAGCTTAGGCAAAATGAAAAGGCAAATAAAGCAACCTTTTAACACTTGCCGATATGAATAATAATAGATTAACAAAAACCTTTTCATAAAAAGTTGTTGCCACATGATGAAAATACAGGTCCAATCTGCAGAAGACCACGGTATTGCTTTCCAATTCGCCAGTAAAACTCGTCTTTTAGAAAATAATATGGTTGCCAGAAATAAATGGACGCGGCAACACCGACCGGTAATATGCGCGTCATCATCAACAGCCTTTAGTAGTCCACTGCCGGTCATAGGCCTCTCCTTAGAAAGAAGATTACATGCGCTTGCATTTTTTAAATATAAATAAAATATATTATATACCTTATTCCTTACACCTTTTAAATATACCTATAGATCAGTAGTAATACCAATGACACATGCATCAACATTAGGCAGGCCTTTTGCATTCTAAGTTATATAATCCGATATGTAATTACGATATCATTACATCTGCATTACAATATAGAATAATTTTACGTGTAGATACCTACTTGCATAAGCAATGTAAGAAACCGAGACTCTCATTTCCTCACGCAATATTGGATTCACCTACACCCCTTTAGATTAAAAAGCCACGTGTGCGAACACTTTGAATAATATAACAATCGCATACTGCTTGTAGAATCCACAGTAGTAAGGTCAAAGCAATTTTACTGTTATTATTTAATACTAGCTTTTGCCTGCGGCTCCGCTCGCGTAAAATCGGTTATAGCAATAAAAAGTAGCCAAAATTAGCTTTCAAAATTCCAAAATGAAATTTGGTATGAAGATTTCATACCAAATTTCATCTAAATCAGTTCAGCGGTTTAAGCGTGTAGAGGTAGCAGACACACTTTCGTATTTATAATATTAGTATGGATGTGCACGTCGGTGACCTTAGAACGTACGACTAAATACATCGATAAAACTAAATTATCACATGTCCTTTGCATTGCAATGCTCCAGATCAGATATAGGCAATAAAAAAAACACACAACTAGATTTTTGTTAATAATCCTAATAACTAGGACTTTAACAGCAAGTCAGTGGGAGACCCATGCTTACGTACATATGGGCCAGCTCGACCGATTTGATTCCACGGCCCACAGATAACCGGTGTTACACAATTATTTTTCCCTCTCTCGCTCTCGCTCTTCTTACTCATCGAGGGAGTGAGGTTATCAAAGACCCAAAACCTCCTCCTAATTCAGGAAAAGAAAAGGGCGGGAACGTATTAGTAGCTTACAATCAAGTAAC